CGTTTCTGTCAAGTATAAAAATTCTCAATTGATTAGTCTTAAGAGAAAATTCCTTTAATTAATGTTTTTGGTGCGAACAACAAAACCACTAGGACCTTAATATGTACTTGTTATTCTAGAGGTGACCAATGGGCCCAACGTGGAACCGGTATGAAGTTAGAAAATTTGGTTTAATCTCGCGGGTCAAATAGGTCGACCAGTTAAATTCGTAAATATTGAGATTAAACATAACATGAATTTGGTTAAATATATATTGCATACGACATAAATCTAAAATAACATGAAATTGGTTTTATACTATTATAAATAAATCGAGAAATTGTAGGACTGCACAATCTCACCGTAATAAAGACAACTATGATAATTTTTGGATTCATTAACCTACTTATTTTAGAGAGGGTAGTATCTTTAAACCTTTCTTACTTGGACCGAAAATGATTGAATACGTTAAGACTATGGTTGGACTCGTTTGAATTCCATGGGGTCTACTTCATACTTATCTGTAAATTAACGTCCTAGACATAAATTCAGAATATCATGGGAGATAAGCTTTGCTTATGATGATAATTTATGCTTTTTATTTCTAATAATTGGTTTATTAATGGTCTATAATTTACTATTGCGGAAAGATCTACAATATCAACTCGACATAGTAAAATTAGAGACAAGTTAAGAGTGGTAATTATCATTTCTGTCAAGACTAGAAATTCTCAATTGAACAATCTTAAAAGAAAATTCCCTCAATTAATGTTCTAGCGCGAATAACTAACCACCCAGACGTTAATCTAGTTATTCAAGACGTGACGAGTGGGCTCAACATGAAATCGGTACAAAGTTAGCAAGTTTGGTTTAGCCTTAAGTGTCAAATAGGTCGATCAATCACATCCTTCAAATAAATAAAGTGACACAAACTGGACTAAACATGACATAAATTTGGTAAAATACGTATTGTATATGACCTAGGCCTGAAATGAAATAAAATTGATTTTATATTATTATAAATAGGTCGAGAAATTTTAAGAGGCACGATCAGTTAACAATCTCACCATATTTAAGATAACTATAATAATTTTTGTATTCATTAAGCTACTTATTGTAGACAGGGTAGAATCCTTAACCCTTTCTTACAGGGATTGAAAATGTTTGAATACGTCAGGACTACGATTGGACTCGTTTGAATTCCATGGGATCTACTTCATGTTTATCTGTAAATTAATGTGCTAGACATAACTTCTGAATACCATGGGAGACATGCTTTGCTTATGATGCTAATTTATCTTTTTTATTTCTAGTAATTGGTTTATTTAATGATTTGTAATTTACTGTTGCGGAAAGATCTACAATATCAATTCTGATCCTTGGTATGGTACTGTAAAATTAGAGACAAGCTACGAGTGAATGAAGTTAAGGTTACGATTTAATCTAATCTAAATATTTTAACTCAAACTGAAAAAAGTTTAAATCAAGCCCAAGAAGTTGGGACTCACTTTTTTGTTTTTCGAATCAGTCTTAACTCAATCTTGGTGGGTTGAAACTCGGCAAGTTTGAGGCATAACTTGATCTAATTAAGTCAAACTTTGGTATAACTTGGAAAGTCACTACTATTTTTAATGGACAGTAATGGAGTTAGTGGTAATTATCGTTTCTGTCAAGTCTGGTAATTCTCAATTGATCAATCTTGAAAGAAAATTCCCTCAATTAATATTTTGGGGCAAAAAAAAACCACCAGGATCTTTTTCTAGTATTTGTTATTCTAGACGTGACCAGTGGGCTCAACATGAAATAGGTGCGAAGTTCACAAGTTCAGCTTAGCCTCACAAGTCAAATAGGTCGACCAGTCAAATCCATCAGAAACTGAGTTAAATGTAATATAAATTTACTTAAATATNGGTCGACCAGTCAAATCCATCAGAAATTGAGTTAAACGTAATATAAATTTACTTAAATATGTATACATATAAACTTAAAATGACATGAAATTAATTTTATATTATTATAAATAGGTCAAAAAAATTTAAGACAACACAATCTGTTGACAATCTTACCATAATAAAGACAACTATAATAATTTTAGAATTCATTAAGCTACTCATTTTAGAAAGGGTAGAATCTTTAAACCTTTCTTACTTACTGAAAATGCTACAATCCGGTAGGAGTATGGTTGGATTCGTTTGAATTCCATGGGGTCTGCTTCATACTTATCTGTAAATTAATGTCCTAGAGACTTAAATTTAGAATATCAACCATTGTGTGGGGTAGGTTAGTGGGGTACCGACTGAACTTCTCACTCTGATGTTAAAGGTTTGAGTTTTGGAGTTTACATTGAAATTCGATAGCTGACCGTTATACTAGTCTAGCTAGGTTCATTCCTGATAGAAGTAATTGGTGCAATCATGGGCCTCATAATCCTACCAATGAGGATCTATCGAGATAGTCTCTAAGAGCTCTTCTTTGCCCTCACCCCTTTTTCGTACATCAAAAAAAAAAAAAATCAGAATACCATGGAAGAAAGGCTTTGCATATGCTAATTCATCTTTATATATATATAATAATTGGTTTATTTAATGGTTTGTAATTTACTGTTGCGAAAAGATCTACAATATTAACTCCCTCGGTACCGTACCATAAAATTAGGGACAAGTTACGAGTGAATGAAGTTAAGGTTACGAGTTAATCAAATCTGATTAATTTAACTCAAATTGAAAAAACTTTGAATCAAGCCCAAGAAGTTAGGATTCGTCTTTTTGTTTATCTAATCAATCTTAACTCAATCTTCGTGGGTTACAATTAGGTATATTTGAGACATAACTTGATCTGATTGAGTCAAACTTTGGTATAACTTGGAAAGTCGCTACTATTTTTAGTGGTCAGTAATGGAGTTAGTGGTAATTACCATTTTTGTCAAGTCTGGTAATTCTCAATTGATCAATCTTAAATAAAAATTCTCTCAATTAATGTTTTGGCGCGAACAACAAACCGCCAGGACCTTTGTCTAGTACTTTTTATTCTAGACATGACCAATGGACTCAACATGAAATTGGTACGAAGTTAGCAAGTTCGGTTTAGCCTCACGGGTCAAATAATAAAGTGGGTTAAACATAACACGAATTTGGTTAAACATGTATTGTATACGATGAAATGACATGAAGTTGATTTCATACTCTTCTGTAAATAAATGTCCTAGACATAAATTCAGAATACCACATGAGATAGGCTTTGCTTATGATGCTATTGGTTTGTAATTTACCCTTGCGAAAAGATCTACAATATCAACTCTCTCGGTACCATACCGTAAAATTAGGGACAAGTTACAAGTGAATGAAGTCAAGGTTATGATTTAATCAAATTTGAATGTTTTAATTCAAACCCAAAAAACTTTGAATCAATCCCAAGAAGTTGGGATTCATTTTTTTGTTTTTGGAATCCGTCTTAACTCTATTTTGTTGGGTTGTAACTCTGATTGAGGCATAACTTGATTTGATCGAGTCAAACTTTTGGTACAACCTGGAAAGTTGCTACTATTTTCAGTGAATAGTAATTGAATTAGTGGTAATTATCGTTTCTATCAAGTCTAATAATTCTCAATTGTCAATCTTAAAAGAAAATTCTCTCAATTAATGTTTTGACACGAACAATCAACCACCGGAACCTTAATTTAGTACTTTTTATTCTAGACGTGACTAGTGGGCTCAACATGAAATCAACATGAAGTTGACAAGTTCAGTTTAACGTCTTGGGTCAAATAGGCCTACCTGTCAAATCTGTTAAATAAATAGATCAAGAAAAATTAGGCTAAATATGACATGAATTTGATAAACTACGTATTAGATATGATATAAACTTGAAATGACATGAAATTGATTTTATATTATTATAAATAAGTCGAGCAATTTAAGGACGACATGATCTGTTAACAATCGCACCATAATTGAAAATTCATTTAAACCTTATCACATATAGCAAAACAAGTTGGTAATTGAGTAAAATGGAGGTGTGTCATTACTTGATGTATGCAAATGGTAAATTCTTCTATTTTATTTTTCATATTCTCAGTTCTCCAGATGGGAAATGACACCACATAACAAAAGGAATGACAGTTAAATCTGTTTCATTAAGTTCACATCAATTTCGATACAGATAGGAATACATCAATGTGAGCATTCATGTAGAATCTTAGATGATTTGTTTTCAATTCTACCCATTATTATTTAAATGAGTCTCTAGATTTGCTTGACATAGTGGGGGTAAGATCTGGAAATTAGAAAAAAAATTGCATAGAGGATTATCTTTGTAATCATATATTTTATGTACATAAAAATATAATCATACAAATCGTCTGCTGCTTCTTATCTGTCTAAGTAAGTTGAACAAAGCCATTAAAAAAAGAATTTGAAAAAAGAGGAAAAAATCGAAGAAAAACAATTTGAAAAATCTCATCCAAGTCTCGTTTTTCAACAACACATAATTCGCTTAGTTGTACTTATTCAAAGCCATATCTTCATTATGATCCTTCCAACTATATAAACATTGGATGAGCAGATGTTGTTTAGAACTTTTATTTAGTAACAACCATATGTGGACCATATTTGATAAGGTGCATACGCAAGTTTGTTGTAAGGACATTTTGATTTAAAGCTTGACTTTCATGTACTTTAGTTAATGGGAAATTCCCTCAGTACGAGAAAACAATGTCCTTGATGGAAAGGTGTGTGTTAAGCGAGTGTGGGCACGCACACGTGTAATAACTTAGAAAGCTTCATATATATATATATACTTCACTATAATAATGACTACGTAAGAATATATACCCCCTCCCCCCGGCCTCACTACTCTAAACCAAACGGTTAAAAAGTCAATCAGTTAGAAAAACAAGTATTGANCTTCCCCCCCCCCCCCCCCCCCCCCAAAAAAAAAAAAAAAAAACTTCTCTCCCTCTCCATCCAAAAAAGAAAAGAAAAAAACCGAACCCCTAGAGAGGGGGAGAAAACTAAAATGTAAAACTATTGGGCATGAAACGAAAGATCTTTCAGCTGCTGAGGATCAACCTCAGAAGGTGCTTGAGTGAGGGCACACTGGGCAGTAGATGTCTTTGGGAAAGCTATAACATCCCTGATGGAATTAGCACCAGCCAACAGCATCACCAATCTATCCAAGCCGTAAGCAATTCCCCCTACACCGTGAAGAACAGAAAAGCATCAATCACTAAGTACACCCATACAGGGGCCAATCGACCACACAAAAAAATCAGTGTGCAACAATCGAGGCATCAATCTCCGAGAAAGTCGGGGAATCTAGTCAAAAGTTATAAACCTTAAGTTGTTTATTAGAAACGTCTAAATCAAAAGTTCGATCCAAGAACAACAGTAAATGTATACCATTATAGCTTACACTGATCAATTGTACTTCCTAATAATGGAATTAAGGTTGTTCAATACTGGAAAAGTGCTTTATCAGATATTCATTTACTTGGCTATAACCTCTCCAGGAAATCTGGGCCAAACAGGTAGACCGAGCAGTTTTTTTTTTTCCTCTACCTGACTGCAGTTGAATATCATATAAGGAAACCTCATCCTTTTGGTCGTCAGTCATCAATGTACATTGTTAGAAAACAATGGTTCAATTTCTCCGAGAACCAGAAATGCATTTAAATCAACCCGACATTTGTTTACATCCCTTCGAGACAATTTAACTGATTCAGTTTTCTTATTCTGATGAATTTTAGCAAGAACACCATGAAAATTTTCCATGGAACACACCCCATAAAAAGCAAATAATTTACAGCTATACAGAAGAATATGATTCTGGACCTATGAAGCACAGATACGGATATGGGATACAGATACGATACGATACGGGTACGGGGATACAACAAAACCAATNGACATTTGTTTACATCCCTTCGAGACAATTTAACTGATTCAGTTTTCTTATTCTGATGAATTTTAGCAAGAACACCATGAAAATTTTCCATGGAACACACCCCATAAAAAGCAAATAATTTACAGCTATACAGAAGAATATGATTTTGGACCTATGAAGCACGGATACGGATACGATACGATACGATACGGGGATACAACAAAACCAAAAAAAACAGGATACGGGTACGGCTAGGATACGTCCATAAAATATATATTTTTTAAAATTTTATTATTATATTTAATGTAATAATTATGATTCATAAAGTAAATCACACTTCTATCAAAGATATATAATAATAACTAACCATCAAAGTCAGTCGATCATCAGTGTGAGTGAGTGAGAGAGAGACGATCGTCGTCGAGTATCGACTGAAGGGAGTGGGGGGCTTGACGGGCTGTGGAAGAAAAGTGTACAGGTTTTAGTCTTTTAGACTTTTAGTTTAATAATATTTTTTTTTTTTGCAAATAAGGGCCTAAATATATTGCTCTTGTGCCCCTATACTTTTTTAAAATTCGAGTAATACCCCACCGTATCCTTATGCGTATCCTAGGCGTATCCAAAACATATCGGACCGTATCCGAAAACCAATTTTTTTTTTTAATTTTAGGATACTTCTCAGACGTATACGGTACGTATCCGACGCANTATCCTAGGCGTATCCAAAACATATCGGACCGTATCCAAAAACCAATTTTTTTTTTTTAATTTTAGGATACTTCTCAGACGTATCCGACGCGTATCTGTATCCAAAAGTATCCGATACGGATACTTTGACCCTTTTGAAGTATCCGTGGTTCATAGTTCTGGACAGACAAAGGCATCACATACCATGAGGAGGGGCACCCATGTCCAGAGCCTCCAGAAGATAGCCAAACTTTGCTTCAGCCTATAGGACAAAAAAAAAGATAGTATACAATCATCAAAAAGCACCAAAGATGTTCGGATTGCTGCCCTCACAATTAATAACCAAGTTCTACATATAAGCTGATCGAAATTCGAAAGAGATCATACAATCCAAAATGTGCCAAACTTCTCCAGTTTAATAATTCAAAAAGTAAGCTTTCTTTCATCCTTCATTTGTTTCTTTCCACAGAAAAGTATTTGCTTTTAACAACACAGGGCACAACTTCCCAAATAATTTGTTCATAGTGTCCACCTACATCAGTACATGTTTATGCCAGGGATATGTGGGCCCACAAAAGAGCAAAAATTAAAAAGCCATCAACATCCAATTGTGTGAAAATGACTAACCACTCAAGGTGATGATCAACCCTGCTTGAACAACATGATGGCATCAAAGCATAAATAATTTCCAATATGCAAAATGTAAACAATAGCAATTGTAACAAATAGATCCAAGTGTAGTATGCATATTGTTGAGGGTCTCCTTACCTGTTCATGGGTAATGCCGATAATTTCCAAAACCATTTCTTGAACCTCACGCTTAAAAATTCTCAAACTTCCTCCACCAATCTAACAGAAAACAAGTTAAATCACACTATAATTTTTGAGTGCCCCATACATGTGAGCATTGGCAAAAATCAGAACAGCAGCTACTAGAGAAAAGCATGTCTACCTCAACTCCATTGTAAACCATGTCATAAGCTAAGGCACGGGCACAGGAAAGATCCTTCATATCTTCAGGGTTTGGGGCAGTGAAAGGATGATGCAAGGCCTGCAAAATAACTAAAATCCCATGAGGTTTACGCTAGTAAGATACCTGCTGGATAAAGATGGCTGGCACAACTACTACCAACACAAAAGCATGTCAACACTTGATTTATCTTTTCCATAACTCGTACTTAGACGAAAAAATAATTATACTGCCTCCCACTGTAGGGTAGTGTTCGCATTTCTCTAGATTTTGATGGACAAAAACTCCCCTATATTGGACCATTTATTACAAAAAACAAAGGCTATTTAAGTATTTTAATAGTTTTTAATTTCACTTTTTCTTTTAGGTTTTTCATGCTTGTCATTTTTCCTCTTGATGACTCGGTTGCATAAACAGGTTGAACTCACCCCAAAGTGTTAGTTTCTGTTTGGTCTGATTTCCCCTATTTATATTGAAGTCACATGGTGGTTTGGATACTGGGTGGCTATAGTGATTGTGGTTATGGCTGCAAACAAACAGATGTTAATGAACATATCGGGATAAGGTCGGACAGAAGCTCCTTCAAATTTGTTAATTTACAAAACGGACCAAGCTCAAGCTCAATTTTGAAGCTCGTTTGACAATGAGCCAAGCCCAAGCAATGGCTTGTTAGGATTGTTGGGTTCATGAATATAACATAGAATGTGTAATGTAATGTTATTTATTACATATTTTCTATACATGATATAACATTAAATATTATGACCCGTATACAATATTATTCATATGTAATATATGATATCATATGTGTAAATGAACCGAGCTTGATCATGAGGAAAAGCATAAATTTGAGTTTAAGCTCAAACACTGCACAAGCTATGTTTTCAGACAGAGTCAAGCTCGAATACTCTTCACGACTGTGCGAATCAAGCACAAACAGTCTGGTGGTGCTCGGCTTGGCACCACTAATATTGATCATTAATTGTAGCCAAAGTTGATTAGCTTAAAATTCATTATGACACACATGGAACACATAGTTCTAAAAAGCAGACCCTTAAGTAATGGTATCGACGGCAACCAATCTCACAATACCCTAATTTTGCGGCCAAATTTTCTTCACACCAATTGCTATCGTTGCGGCACCATAATGGCCCGCAACGGGTTCGTAACGCCTGTAACAGACAATAGGGGTCAATCAGGCCGATTTGGATTGTTATGACCCCATAACCCGTGTGAATACAAACAACCATACATGTTGGTATTCTATTTAGTTTCTACATAATTATCAACCATAGCACCTACCAGAAATCACACCTTCATCGATGACGATGACAGCTGTCGTTGAAGGTCTCAACGTCCATGTCATCTTTGTAGGACTTGATGATGTCCACTTTTGGACAGCATGTCGCCAGACTTGATCTTCGAAGTTCTACCGTGATAGTCCAAGGGATGAAGTTGTGGCGGAAAAATGGAGTTGCAAGGAGTTGGAGAATAGAGATGAGAAGAAAAAAAAAAAGGCTGGAGTTGCAGTAGAGAGAGGGTTTAGTTGAAAAAAGAACATGAGGCTAGGGTGGTTGGAGCCTTGGAGTTGGAAGTGTTTGGATACTAATAACATCTATTTCATTATTGAATATTTTACATTGATCCATTTCTGGCCGATGTTCCCACTGACATTTATGTTCGTGACATAACTGTCTCTAATGTTCTTTTTCTTCTAATTTATTTGTGACTCGTCCTCTTATTGTGCATACATATGCTTGTAGGATTTCAATTGTCTCTTCTACAATGTGTTGTCTCCTGCCTTCTCTACTGTCATTCAATCAAATTTTGACAATGTGAATCGTGTTCCTCACTGTCCTTAACGATCTCGTAAGGGTCCAGATCAGTTTTATTTCTCAAACTCTTGTTATATTACTAATTTTTGTTCTTTTTTAGTTTCTATCTGCTTCTGAAAACCTACCTTCCTCCTATAAGGAGGTTTTTATTGACCCTTTTTGAAAACAGACTATGGATAAGGAACTTGCCACTTTACATAAAAGATTAAGACTTGGGAGTTAGTGGCATTACTTGAAAAAACACACAGTTGGTTGTAAATGGAATTATAAAATTACGACCAAATCTGACAGTGTGGAATGGTACAAGGCTCAATTGGTAGCTAAATGATTTACACAAAAANCACAACTACTACCAACACAAAAGCATGTCAACACTTGATTTATCTTTTCCATAACTCATACTTAGAAGAAAAAATAATTATACTGCTNCACAACTACTACCAACACAAAAGCATGTCAACACTTGATTTATCTTTTCCATAACTCGTACTTAGACGAAAAAATAATTATACTGCCTCCCACTGTAGGGTAGTGTTCGCATTTCTCTAGATTTTGATGGACAAAAACTCCCCTATATTGGACCATTTATTACAAAAAACAAAGGCTATTTAAGTATTTTAATAGTTTTTAATTTCACTTTTTCTTTTAGGTTTTTCATGCTTGTCATTTTTCCTCTCGATGACTCGGTTGCATAAACAGGTTGAACTCACCCCAAAGTGTTAGTTTCTGTTTGGTCTGATTTCCCCTATTTATATTGAAGTCACATGGTGGTTTGGATACTGGGTGGCTATAGTGATTGTGGTTATGGCTGCAAACAAACAGATGTTAATGAACATATCGGGATAAGGTCGGACAGAAGCTCCTTCAAATTTGTTAATTTACAAAACGGACCAAGCTCAAGCTCAATTTTGAAGCTCGTTTGACAATGAGCCAAGCCCAAGCAATGGCTTGTTAGGATTGTTGGGTTCATGAATATAACATAGAATGTGTAATGTAATGTTATTTATTACATATTTTCTATACATGATATAACATTAAATATTATGACCCGTATACAATATTATTCATATGTAATATATGATATCATATGTGTAAATGAACCGAGCTTGATCATGAGGAAAAGCATAAATTTGAGTTTAAGCTCAAACACAGCACAAGCTATGTTTTCAGACAGAGTCAAGCTCGAATACTCTTCACGACTGTGCGAATCAAGCACAAACAGTCTGGTGGTGCTCGGCTTGGCACCACTAATATTGATCATTAATTGTTGCCAAAGTTGATTAGCTTAAAATTCATTATGACACACATGGAACACATAGTTCTAAAAAGCAGACCCTTAAGTAATGGTATCGACGGCAACCAATCTCACAATATCCTAATTTTGCGGCCAAATTTTCTTCACACCAATTGCTATCGTTGCGGCACCATAATGGCCCGCAACGGGTTCATAACGCCTGTAACAGACAATAGGGGTCAATCAGGCCGATTTGGATTGTTATGACCCCATAACCCGTGTGAATACAAACAACCATACATGTTGGTATTCTATTTAGTTTCTACATAATTATCAACCATAGCACCTACCAGAAATCACACCTTCATCGATGACGATGACAGCTGTCGTTGAAGGTCTCAACGTCCATGTCATCTTTGTAGGACTTGATGATGTCCACTTTTGGACAGCTTGTCGCCAGACTTGATCTTCGAAGTTCTACCGTGATAGTCCAAGGGATGAAGTTGTGGCGGAAAAATGGAGTTGCAAGGAGTTGGAGAATAGAGATGAGAAGAAAAAAAAAAAGGCTGGAGTTGCAGTAGAGAGAGGGTTTAGTTGAAAAAAGAACATGAGGCTAGGGTGGTTGGAGCCTTGGAGTTGGAAGTGTTTGGATCCTAATAACATCTATTTCATTATTGAATATTTTACATTGATCCATTTCTGGCCGATGTTCCCACTGACATTTATGTTCGTGACATAACTGTCTCTAATGTTCTTTTTCTTCTAATTTATTTGTGACTCGTCCTCTTATTGTGCATACATATGCTTGTAGGATTTCACTTGTCTCTTCTACAATGTGTTGTCTCCCGCCTTCTCTACTGTCATTCAATCAAATTTTGACAATGTGAATCGTGTTCCTCGTTGTCCTTAACGATCTCGTAAGGGTCCAGATCAGNATAACTCGTACTTAGACGAAAAAATAATTATACTGCCTCCCACTGTAGGGTAGTGTTCGCATTTCTCTAGATTTTGATGGACAAAAACTCCCCTATATTGGACCATTTATTACAAAAAACAAAGGCTATTTAAGTATTTTAATAGTTTTTAATTTCACTTTTTCTTTTAGGTTTTTCATGCTTGTCATTTTTCCTCTCGATGACTCGGTTGCATAAACAGGTTGAACTCACCCCAAAGTGTTAGTTTCTGTTTGGTCTGATTTCCCCTATTTATATTGAAGTCACATGGTGGTTTGGATACTGGGTGGCTATAGTGATTGTGGTTATGGCTGCAAACAAACAGATGTTAATGAACATATCGGGATAAGGTCGGACAGAAGCTCCTTCAAATTTGTTAATTTACAAAACGGACCAAGCTCAAGCTCAATTTTGAAGCTCGTTTGACAATGAGCCAAGCCCAAGCAATGGCTTGTTAGGATTGTTGGGTTCATGAATATAACATAGAATGTGTAATGTAATGTTATTTATTACATATTTTCTATACATGATATAACATTAAATATTATGACCCGTATACAATATTATTCATATGTAATATATGATATCATATGTGTAAATGAACCGAGCTTGATCATGAGGAAAAGCATAAATTTGAGTTTAAGCTCAAACACTGCACAAGCTATGTTTTCAGACAGAGTCAAGCTCGAATACTCTTCACGACTGTGCGAATCAAGCACAAACAGTCTGGTGGTGCTCGGCTTGGCACCACTAATATTGATCATTAATTGTTGCCAAAGTTGATTAGCTTAAAATTCATTATGACACACATGGAACACATAGTTCTAAAAAGCAGACCCTTAAGTAATGGTATCGACGGCAACCAATCTCACAATACCCTAATTTTGCGGCCAAATTTTCTTCACACCAATTGCTATCGTTGCGGCACCATAATGGCCCGCAACGGGTTCGTAACGCCTGTAACAGACAATAGGGGTCAATCAGGCCGATTTGGATTGTTATGACCCCATAACCCGTGTGAATACAAACAACCATACATGTTGGTATTCTATTTAGTTT